CCTCAAACTCAGTTTGCTTTAGGCCAATTCGATAGCTGAAAACTCCCTGGAAAAAAATACAGGATAGTTCTATTTGCTTAGGAAGTAGTAGTATGAAGCACAGATTCCAGCAAAATTAGCAGTGCCTGTACCACTGGAGCCTATGTAGACAGGGCTTCCAAATGCCACACAGTGAGTTCTTGGTAAAACTGGGATGTGAAGTCTGTGGTTCCTGGATCCTGGCCTTGACCTCAGGTCATAAGACATGCAACATCTCAACTCTCAGCACTTCCAATAAGAGAAACCACAGATTATTATGAAACTATAGTGTAATGTTAAGTTCAGTATCGAGACTCAGAAAAATATCAGTAGGTTGATGCCACTGTTACGTCTGCACCACTGTTATGTGGCACATTTGTAGCAGTACACCAGACACCTTTATTTGCCCCAGCTGCAACAAAACATGTCTCTCTCGTATCAGTCTCTACAGCCGCAGCAGGTGTCTCCTGAGACAGACAAATGCCTGCCCGTATGTCTGCATATTGGGAAAACGCAACGTACATCTAAAGATGGCCTTAAGTGATGAAGTAATCAGTAGAAGAGACACATTTCAAGTAAGCAATTTGCTCAATAAGAACACACACATCAATTTTGTCCTAAAAACTGATCGGATCCAAATTTGGGGTGGGAGATAAAACCATGTGATTTCTAAGTCAGCAGGAAAAAGACTGCACATTGTTTTCCCCTTCCCTTAGAGGTGAGAAATTATGGGCAGACTTCATGGGGGTCAAGTTTCTTTTTGGGTCAGAGAATATATTGGGTTTTTATATTGGTCAGAGAATATATTGGGTTTTATAGAGATATATTGGTTTGGTTTTTTTAATAATAACATAGGTGTTTTGTTTTTTTCCAGAGAACTCTATAATTAGAAGAGAACTCGTGCGGGTGTCAGATAAAACAATTCAGATTCAGATTATTCTGTTTTCCCAATTCAGAGCCTCTGGAAATCTCTTAGAATCCCTCATTCCAGAAGAGACAACCAGAGGGGCCAGTTTATTTTCCTTCAACAACCAGGATCAGTTTTGCCCCGCCAAAGTGAAGGAACATAAGGAGCTGCTTTGTAGCAAGACAGACCCATTTATATATATCTATATATACTAACACCTATGCCAAAAAATCAGTAAAGCTGGGATATCTGAGTTTAAAATAATATACAGCCTAACCGGAAACATATTTGTTAAGATGTTAATTGCCTTAAAATTCCACTGCCTTTCCGACTGAAGGATTTCAGCCCAATTCTTGGAAGTCAGCTTAATATTAAAGTTTTAGTTTTAGGCTCTAAACAATAAATCAATAAAACACAGTTTTTAATATTCAGATTGAGGCCTGCAATCCCTCAAACACTTTCCTGGGAATAAAGCCCACTGAACTCAAGGGGCCTTACTTCTCAGCACACGTGCACAGGCTCGCATTGTAAACACCTGTATGGATTCTAACCAGTCAAAGGAAACGCACAGATTGCAAACCCAAATGCTTTAGGCCTTGGGAAACACATTTTGTATGGATATTTTAATATTTTAAACCTGTCTATGGGAGATAATGTATTCATGCACAGCTCTGATCTGAAAACTAGGCCTTTGGGTTTCTGCGTAAGAACAGATAATGAAAAAGCTGACAGCTCCAACAGGAATTCCTATCTCGCAACTTGTATATCCTAATTAATACATTGGCAAAGCTTCAGAACGATGGCATACAGTATTTCCCCCATCACTAAGAATGTGTCATTGGCTGCTTCTTCATTATAGCTAGAAAACGACAACAAGCAATTTTAGGATTTCCTCCTTTCCTCTTAGCTTTCATTTCATTAAGCCGTCCTGTATAAATAAAAGATAAAATGCATCTCTTTATGTCAGGCAGCTGTTTGCGAGGATGTTGTGGCAGTTATGTCTGGGTGGGTCCAATGCACATAGCAGCCTGTAAAATGGCCGCAGGGCTTCCTCATGTCGCTACAGTGCTAGTGCAACAAAATGGAATAGTGGCTGTTGGCACTGGTGTGTTAGCAAAACCCCAATGTGGCAGTTCTGAGCAGCCTAATTATGCAGAACATGATGCCAAGTTTGGGAGAGGGAGACCATGGCAGCTGGAGGAACCTTTGGTGATGCCTCACTTCCAGGTAGGGTCCTCCTGTGAGAGCTGTCACACAAAGACAACAGGGGCAACTTGATGTTCAAATGGACCCCCAGCTTATGCACGCCCTTCTTGAGACAAGAAAAAGAAGAGGAGGAGTTTGGATTTGATATCCTGCTTTATCACTACCCGAAGGAGTCTCAAAGGGGCTAACATTCTCCTTTCCCTTCCACCCCCACAACAAACACACTGTGAGGTGAGTGAGGCTGAGAGACTTCAAAGAAGTGTGACTAGCCTAAGGTCACCCAGCAGCTGCATGTGGAGGAGTGGGGAATCGAACCCGGTTCACCAGATTACGAGTCCACCGCTCTTAACCACTACACCACACTGGCTCTCACAACAGCCACTGTGGCTTTGTGTGGATACTGATCTCCTCTGAGCCAGGGGTCGGGAACCTCTTTTAGTCCAAGGACCTTCCTGGGGCCACAGGCAAAAGCAGGTGGAGCGGAAGTGTAAATTTTACCTTGGTGCAGCAAACTAGTTTCTACACCCCCCCCCCCACAGTCTTCCATCCAGACGAGCAAAGAGGCAGTGCCACAGTTTGACACATTCCAGTCAGGCAAAAAACACTTGCGGGGCAAAATAGGGCCAGTGAGAGATATGAGCTTGGAGAGAGTAGGGAAGAGTTCCCAGGGCCTGATAAAGAGATCTGGAGGGCCACATTCCACCCCAGGCCTGAGTGAGGTTCCCCACTCCTGTCATGAGCCACCAACCTCTATTCTTATAGTTCAGCTTGCAGACTTTAGGATTATAAAAGGGTTGATGAGAGTTTAATGGGCAAAGCCGGAGTTCCCAACCACTCATACAGACTCTATGTCTGTTGTCACATTCTGCCCAGGGTTAAAGGTAGTGGTTGCAATTTTGCTCTTTTCGAGATACTGAATAATAATAATAATAATAATAATAATAATTTATTATTTGTACCCCGCCCATCTGGCTGGGTTTCCCCAGCCACTCTGGGCGGCTTCCATAGAAACAAAAAATACAGTAAAATATCACAGATTAAAAGCTTCCCTAAACACATATATAAGGGGAGTGTGAGTTTTTGCTTTCCAGCAGGAAGTCAAATAATCTTGCAGCATCATTAAGTTTATTTCTCCCCTTTTCTTACATGGCCTTTCAAGAAATACTTCTAATAGATATCGAAGGGATGTTTGACATTCTTCCCCCAATGTTTTTTTAATTATTATAGTAGAGGAGGAATCTAAACATAAAGTCATATAAAATATTGATGCAACAAGATGAGAGTGTGAGAGAACACACTGGTTCAATGATTTTTTGGGGAGTGGCGGCGGGTGTGTGTGCTTTCCGTGGACTTTTGGAAGGCCAGTGCTAGTTATTAAATGTGTGAACGAAAGGCTGGACAACATGAATGCTATGTAGCCAGCCTTTCAATGCTTCTCATAATATTTAGCACAAGGAATTTGTATGTATGGGTTTCATCATACAAATGGACGTTTGTAGTCAATACTCAGACACATTAATGAAATATACATACACTTTCTGTGTCACCATTTTATGGTATTATATTTTATAGCCAGGATCCAAACAGTCATGCAACTATTTCCAGATGTGGTAAGGGATGTTGGGCTTGTGTTTTTCAAAGTGTGTCTTTACAGTGTCTGCCACAAATCAAGTTTTTTTTTAAAAAGAGCTTTCAAAAATGTCACGATTTATTCAAAAAATGAAAAGAGTCTATGACATTGGATCCTAAGATAAATCAGCTTAAGACAGTGCAAGGGATGAAGTCCCCCCCCCTCACAACCATCTCCTGAGCCCTGTTGGAAAGGGGGGGGGAGAGGAAGAATAACCATTGGACTTGGCTCCTAAGATACATTAACAAAGTTTATGGGAGAGAAGTTCCCCCTCTATCCGCAGCACTCCATTCTGCATTGACACACCAAAATGGCTTTTCCCCCTTTAAAGAGCACATACCTGGCTGGGCAGCAGTAATGGTGTTCCAGCCCCAAGAAGGAAGGAAGGAAGGAGAGATCTCTCCCATCTCTTGACCAGTGTGCTGCCAGGAAGAAATGCCCCAGTGACCCTTGGGAAATGCAGTTTTCCCAGCAGCAATTTCTTAACATGGACTTCCATGGAACAGAAACGGTGTTTTTTTCATTATTTTCAAAGAAGCAGCTTGGTTGATTATCCAAGACAATCTGACATGAGCTTGGGAGAAAGTAATCCTTATTATACTAAGAGTGAACAACAGCCTTGTAAATTGCCATAACATAAAGTTCCACTGTTTCATATGCTTACCTCTCCATTGAAGAAACAGAAAATAGTTGCCACAAGTAAACCCTAAGAAGAAGAAAAGAGAGAAAATTATTCAGACTCTTTATCTATGCCGTGGCTGCTTAGGGTGCAAAGTAATGATACAAAATTTAATGCCGCCTTCATTTCATGCTGTATAGTTGGACTCTAATATAGCCAAAGAAAACTGTCCTACAATTACAGCTTCTCATTGTTGAAAGACAAAACAGTGATATCTGCCAGGTTATCTCCCCCTTACCCCATATCAAAGCCATCAATAGCACATCCTCAACTAAGAGAATCAAGAAAGTGGGCGTCTTTGTGTGAGAAACATATCCACTAAATGAGAGATGGATATCCGTGGTACATTGGTTTAAAAGCTGCTATACATTCTCAAAAAGAAAAGAAAAAAGGACCAGAAACACATCACATATGACCCCTAAAAGACAAGCAGATCTATTGTGGCATAAGCTTCCGTTTGTGCCAGTAGCAGCTTCTCTCCTGATTTTTGTCATGAACATATTTGCATGAGGAATGGGTTAACCTCTCCCCACACCATTGTTCTTAAGGACAGAGGGATAGGGGCTGTAGCTCAATGGTAGAGCATCTGCTTTGCATGCAGAAGGTCTCGGGTCCCATCCCTGGCAGCCCTGTGAGAAATCCTGGAGACCTCTGCCAAGCCAATGTAGACAGTCCTGAGCTAGATGGACCAGTAGTCTGACTCAGTATCAGGCAGCTTCATAAGTGTTCCTATGATCCTCATCCCCCTTGCAGCTCATATTTGAAAAGGACACCTCACAAGGCACACACAATAGTAAACTATGTTGTACTACCAAAATGTGTAGTACAAGGCAGTTCAATCCATGTGGCCTTGGAAGTAAATCTTATTGTGTTCAATTGAGTATTTACAGGTGTTCATCAGACTGCAGCCAGATATACCGTATTTTTTGCTCTATAAGACTCACTTTTTATCTCCTAAAAAGTAAGGGGAAATGTGTGTGCGTCTTATGGCGCGAATGCAGGCTGTGCAGCTATCCCAGAAGCCAGAACAGCAAGAGGGATTGCTGCTTTCACTGCGCAGCGATCCCTCTTGCTGTTCTGGCTTCTGAGATTCAGAATATTTTTTTTCTTGTTTTCCTCCTCCAAAAACTAGGTGCATCTTTTACGGTACTTTTCCAACACCAAAACACAGGTCTTTCTCATTTGTGCCCCTATCCTCTCTAACGAAAGACACTTTGGGTCACACAATTTCCTCCTTTCCTGCTCTTATCCCTCTAAATTCTCTTCTCATTTGCAGTTATATAGCCATATTGTCTTTCACAAGAGGATAACGGGGATCATGGCTTAAAGATGAGGAGTTTGCTCAGATGGCCTTGAAATTAGATTTTAGTTAACAGTTCTGTAGAGGAGTTTGTCTGAGGTGAGAAAAGGAGCCTGATGTGGAGGGCAAAATGTGTCCAAAACTGATGTTATTTCTACAAGACAGAAGGGAACAGCAGTAAATGGGTACTAAAAATGCATGCACAGTAAAGAACCTGGCCATTGTACATTGTACAAGAAGGTGAAGAGAGGCCTCTTTTTATGACTTGTTTAAAAAGGGTGAAATGGCATGGAACTCAGATCTGTAAATGCTTGACAGTTTGACCCCGACACGACTGTCCTCCTTGCTTAATTGGTAATTATATTGCAGATATTTGGTGGCTATATTATATTAAGATATTAAAGAAGATGGTGCAAAAATGCCAGACACCCACAGTGAGAAATACAGGGTGAGTCCTTTAAAAGAGGCCCTGTGGATACAGAGTATACATGTTTCACGGGGCCTCTTTTAAAGACTCACCCTGTAGCTAAATAGTTCACATGATCTGACTGCTGAACACATTTTAACGACATTTACCCCACAACAAAGCAGTGCTTTTCAACAGTAAGTTGTTGTCAGACTCCCACATTATGTTACAGCTACGTTGCAGTAAATCTGCAGTCAGGACTCACACATATCTAGGGAATCACCATTTTCATTAGCGAAAAACCACATTCAGATGCTAATATAAACACCTAGGGGCAGCGGCGGAGGAAGCCTCTCAGGCACCTGGAGCGAACTGCCCATAGGGGCGGGGCAAGTGGCGCCCCCGTCTTGTCCGCTCTGCACCCGCTGCCTCCCCCCCCAGCTGTAGGGCAGCTGAGGCCCTGGGACTCACAGTGCTCTTAGGGAGGAACGAGGGACGAGGCGCGGGGCCTCAGCCGCTCTACAGCTGAGGGGAGGCAGTGGGCAGACAGCACAGAGCCTGTGGGCACCTGAGATGCATGGCTCAGGCGCACTGCAGGCCCTGTGGTGAGTACTGTCGGCCATTTTGTCACCTCCGACAAGGTGACACCCGGGGTGAGCCACCCCCCCGCACCCTTCCTACGCCCCTGCCTAGGGCAGAATTGGGATTGTGAGCACCCAACTTCCATGCATGCACTAACATCCACATTATAATGGAATTATGGCAGCACACGCAATTACTTTTCCGCCAAGGTTTGTACTTGCTCACTCAGTGATAAAACTATGCTTTGTCATTACATTTGGCTTGACAGCAGTCATGAAATTAAAAGACGCCTGCTTCTTGGGAGAAAAGCAATGACAAACCTAGACAGCATCCTAAAAAGTAGAGACATCACCTTGCCAACAAAAGTCCGTATAGTAAAAGCTATGGTTTTCCCAGTAGTAATGAGCTGGACCATAAAGAAGGCTGATCGCTGAAGAATTGATGCTTTTGAATTACGGTGCTGGAGGAGACTCTTGAAAGTCCCATGGACTGCAAGAAGATCAAACCTATCCATTCTTAAGGAAATCAGCACTGAGTGCTCACTGGAAGGACAGATCGTGAAGTTGAGGCTCCAATACTTTGGTCACCTCATGAGAAGAGAAGACTCCCTGGAAAAGACCCTGATGTTGGGAACGATGGAGGGCACAAGGAGAAGGGGACGACAGAGGATGAGATGGTTGGATGGTATTCTCGAAGCTACCAGCATGAGTCTGTCCAAACTGCGGGAGGCAGTGGAGGACAGAAGTGCCTGGCGTGCTCTGGTCCATGGGGTCACGAAGAGTCGGACACGACTAAACGACTAAACAACAACAACAACAACAACAAAGTATATGAAATGGTCTGAACATTCTAAACCACCATATAAAGACTGTGCCTTATTACTTAGTTTAAGTTGCCCAGCTTGTATTGCATTTCACTTATTTAAGTCAATAGCAATAATTGCTAATAAATCCTAATTAACGAGGATTTAATTCATTAATATATAAATTTGTTTGGGAATGGGCCATGGCTCAGTAGTAGAGTACATGCTTTGCATGTGGAAAGTTCCAGAATCAATCCCTGGCATCTCAGGTAGCAAGCAGAAGTGGCTTGCCAGGCAGGCAGATCTTTCTCATCTCCTCATCTCCTCATATCCATCAGCTCTGAGGCAGCTTGCCAGGTGAGACCGAGCTGCTTATGTTGGCTTCGCAGCAGGTAGATCACTGTTGCTTATCTGAAGGGGGAGGAATGAGCTGGTGTAGAGTTTGCTGCAGTACAAACACCTGCACAGCCAATCTGGCACTACTGCTGGTGCGTTTGCACCATGCTGACTTCCCTGTTGCCCCTCCCAATAAGCAGTAGTGACCCACCTGCTGTGAAGCTAGCATAAGCAGCTTGGCCTCACCTGATGAGCTGCTTCTGACAGTAGCTGAGGAGAAAGATGTCTAATTAAGCAATAGTAGGCTAGATGGACAAATAGTCTGGCCTGTTACAAAGGCAGCTTCCTGTGCCTTAATTAATATATACCATTATTTATCTGTAATGTAATCTAAATGAAGAAACAGGGTTGGGCGAATCTGTTAATTTTGATTTCTCTCAAGTGTCTTGTTTTTCCAAACTTGAGTTCAGTCTTCCACATTTCTGTATCTGTATCTAATTAAATACCTGTCTCTGACTAATGCAGCACTTCACTTACTTTGTTTTTGCTTATTCTTGTTAAGTACCACCTGTGTAACTGCAGATAGATGGAGCAATCTATTTCCAACCCACGCCAATTTCACATGTTTGTTCATTTGTATGTTCTATTCAGTTTCTACAGTAATCATGTTTTTTTTTAAAAAAAACACCTGCACAAATAAATTCTATTTTATCACAAAATACTAATGAAGTGCATATTTTATCTCAATATATGTTTTTCTAAATGTGTTTTATCTTAAAATATGTTTTTTTCTAAAACCACATTATGGGGACCATTTTTCAAGGAAGAATTTTGTATCACAAAATACAGAGAAGGGCAGAATCCTAAGGAGAATTATGTTCCCATCTGCACACACATCAGGGAGGTAGAAATCTGGTCAGTTTTCATCAAGATTAACAAAAACAGAAGTCCTCAAGCCTCCTAATGTGGAGCTATAGGATTTGAGCTGGGTATAGAGAGGTGGATCTCAGACCACTATGTTTTTACCACTTATTTTTAAGCTGTCCACTTTCTACATATGGCAATTTTGCCCCATTTGTTGCAACAAAACTAGCTCATGCTACTAAAGCATTTATGAGCTTACTGAACAGTGAGACAGGATCCTCATCAAATGCTCTGACTGAAACTGGTCTGTGATAAGGACAATCTTGTAAAGAGGGAAGATGATGTAAAGAGCTAGAGATGAATTGACTCTCATAGTTCAGAGGCACTGCTAGTATGGGAAACCTGGTAGGGGATACTTCATGGTGTTATTTTCCAGATGAGGATGTTATTCTGCAGAGAAAACGCTATTACATTTCTAAATGGCAACAGACAGTCTCTATTTCAGCCCCTTGTAGCTTCTTTGTTAACTCGGGAGACCATCAGGATAGCAAGTTACAAGCAATTTCCCTTAATTCAATGGGTGGTTTTTTTGTACAGTGGTACCTTGGGTTAAGTACTTAATTCGTTCTTAACCTGAAACTGTTCTTAACCCGAAGCACCACTTTAGCTAATGGGGCCTCCTGCTGCTGCCGTGCCGCCGGAGCCCGATTTCTGTTCTTATCCTGAAGCAAAGTGCTTAACCTGAAGCACTATTTCTGGGTTAGCGGAGTGTGTAACCTGAAGTGTATGTAACCCGAGGTACCACTGTATGTTGTTTTCACTAAGATAGGTATTTTTGCGTGCACTTTGACTTAATACTTGGTGTGCATTGCTTGGTTGGTGAACTGCACCACAAAATTCAGAGAAGTACACATTGAAAATGGATGCTTGTGATTCAGTTCACATGTCGGTTCAAGCAAATGCAAATTGGGTTGACATCCGAACAAATTTCTCCCCCATGTTTACATACCTAACTAAAAAAATAACAACCACAACATAAAAACCACAGTGTTACCAGACCCATACCTGGTAATGCATTAATATATGCATGATGTAATCATATACTTCGCCCGCAAGCTTGTTTTCTGGCCTCCATGGAATAATGACAAACTGAATTCCTAATAAGGGCACAAGGATTAAAGTGGCTCTGACAGCTTTCATGTACATGTTGGACTCGGCACGATGAGTGTCTCTTAGCTTGGTTACTAGAACTCGCACAATGTTAAGCAAAAAGAAAAAATTGACCTGTAAGAACAAATCAACCATCATTTTAGATTTATTTTATTTACAAAAAAAAGAACTT